AAAATAAGATCTTTTAATATGTACTCTTATCGCACCAGCCTGAGATACGCACCTGCATATACATAGGAGCTCTTTCAGTTTAGCTGTTTTCTTTATTATTCACACTATGGATTCACAGCAGTATAAACTGTTTTATATTACTGATACCTAGCTAGTGCAGCTGGACTGTCTGCCCACAAATGAAGAGAGGGGTTCTAATAACAAGTTTTCTCCTAACATCAAAAATAGTAGTGGATAAACTGCAAGGCATTTTTTCCGAGATCTGTCTATGCTGAGAGTCACCAGGGTATTTCATATGGGCAAGCTTACATGAAAACCATTCCACTGCAGCTAGCTGGACTCTTATGTTTAGCATTTCCAAGGAAAGTCAGAGTTTTCTAAATCCATTTCTGCACATATTTAGATTCAGATGATAATTAAGTAGAATGGGGATCATCATTTAGACCACTTTTCTGTCAGTTTGCACTGCTTTTTATACAAGGTCATCCTTGAGTTTATTTTTTGCGGTAACTTGGAAGGTGTGTTTGATAAACTGGTATTTAGCTAGTTCATAACATGACTGGAGTAATAACATATATTATTCATTAGTCTAAAAGTACCTGATATTTTTTTCTCCATTTTTTGCTTTGTATTTGGATGAATCACATGTGACACACCAAAAGAGAAATTAGAAATTTCCAAGGCAAATTGAATCTTACAGAAGAGGCGAAAGGTGCTTGTCAGCTTACTTAATCAAAAGCTTAGACCTAATTAGTTTCTTGGGATACTGACAAGAGGTTACAGGTATTTTGGTCACTTAATTTTTTTTTGCGGGGAGAGTTGTTTCTTTGAAAAGGATTTCAAAATTGTCTGATGTTCTTTTACTTAATTTAATTGCAGGCAGCTGATGATGTTCTGGTAATGCATACTTTTCAACCTCAAAGAAGAAAAAAATAGGCACAGACTGGCCCTAAGGGAAACTTTAATGACGTATCAGTGCATAAAATGAAGAATGAAGGGAATAATGAAACAGCAAAATGAATTTTCAGTTACCAGTTGAGCATTGTGTATGTTTGTGACTAATGGTCATGCTTTTTTTTCCTCTGAAACATACTCCTCTGTATTTCAGAAGAACCTGGCAGGTGGTGCCTTTTGGGTAATAGCTCTTCAAAATTAAACTCAGAAGAAAGGAAATTTACTGCTTCCTTTAGGCTGTTTCAGCTTGAATGACAACATTAATAGTCTGTTTTGAGGGAGTTATCTTACTGGACAAAAGGTGGTTTGTGTGCACGGGCATTTTGCATGCGGACTTATGAAGGTAATGTGGCTTTATAGATTCTTTTTTGTAATGCCATTGCAATTAAAAAAACAAAAACAAAAAAACCCACAATGCTTGTTTAAAATTGCCAAAAGTGTCTGGCAGAATTTTAGTGGCAATTAGAAACTTAGCAAGCTGTGATTGTAAATAAAAGCCCACCTGCAAGTTGCTTGGCCTTTATCCAAGCTTGTGACAATGACTTAGCAAGAATGCAAATAATATTACTATTGGGTATTTTGGAAAGGAACTGCATCCGCTCTTTAGTATTAGTTTCACCTTTTCTTTTGCACACATGTGTAAATAAATCAGTGTATGGTGAGGTGCACCAGCTTTTTCATGAAAATTGTCCTCTGATTAGTTTTCAAGAACGATCTTCTGTTTGTAGAATAGGGGGCAGAGGATTACCATGGATTTGCTCTTGAATGTATACACACCAGGATCTGGCAGGATTAAATAAAAATTCTGTGTTCTAAATTTCAACGCTTTTCTGTGACTAAACAGATGCTAGTTTGTTCTCTACCTAGCCAGAGGTGAAACACCTTTCCAATAGCATGGGACAAAAAATAAGCATGTGCAGTGTTAAAAAGAACTGATATAGCTGAATTCACCAATGTGGGTTTTTTGTGTATATCTGTCAGGACCAGAGTCTAGCCTGGGGGAGTGAAAACTTCTGGGGCAGATTTTCTGCTCATCTACACCAGTTCCACATTCTGTTGGATTTTGTGTAGTTGTTGAGTTTGGGAAATGTTTGGACACTGCTCACAGAAATGTCAATTGATTTTTGGGAAGTCCTATGGAGAGTCAGGAGTCGGATGCAATGATCCTCATGGGTCCCCTATAACTCAGAATGTGATTCTGTGATTCTATTCTTCATTCATGACAAGGCAAGAGATAAATATGTCCTTTTGCTTTTTGGATGATATGTGCCATACAGTAACTTTTCTCCTTTAGGAAAGGAAGTGAAAGGGAAATAGAATGCTTATTAAAGCAATATGTAGGATGCCTGTGAACTAGGTACATGGACATTTTACAGTGTTCCAGACATGCTTTGCTGGGGCTGAATAGATTGACAGATCATGAAATGAATGGATTTCTCTCTTCTACTTTGTCAACCAGCTAAGCGTGTAGCAGCTAGGTGCAAAAAAAAAAAAAAAAAAAAAAAAAAAAAAAAAAAGTGTGGTTTCTGTAATGTAAGCTGAATCAGTTTCATCTACTGATAAAGGCTTCACTTGGGAATTTAGGAGTCATGCTATGTTGTATCTTGATCTTTGCTAGTCCACCTTATGTTTTCACATGGAGATTTTCAAGTTTTCTGCTTCAAATATGTAATAAAAGTAAATGTCTGGGAAGATATCAGCATGTTTATTTGCTTGACAGTGATTATGTCCTAGGAAGTCATGGGTATCCATCTCATAACTCAAATTTTATGTGTCACTTCTGCATCAAATCTTGTTCAGAAATCTGATTGGTATGAATTATGTCTTCAAACAGTTTTAAATCACTATAAAATGAAAAGCATTGAAGGTATGTTGTAGTGATGAATTCTGCACTGGTTGACAGGTAAATTAGGTGAGCTAGTAGGTTTTGTCCATTTGTAACTTATATCAATGGCAAGCCACACCAGATGGTGCTGTTACGCATAAGCAATTCTTATTCCTAGCGAGCTATTGCTTTCTTGGGAGGATAAACGGCATATTAGTGCTTCATTTTTTATTCAGGATTCTCTCAAGAGGAAATAGTAGAAGCATTAATGGACACATCTGGAGCCTAGGTCATATATTAGAAATGATTCTTGGAGCACAGTTAAGCTTAGATTTGTAAAAGAATGGCTTTGTTAACATGCAGTTTGGCTACCTCATTTTTCATACAGTATATTTGGTTTGAATAAATGTTTTAAATTTGACATCAGCAATTAATAGATATTATTTCTATTACTGTTACTCTCATCTTCAAGAGATAATGTTAGAGAATGTACCAGCAGCTCTACCTTTGGCCTTGCATCAGATAGAAAACACAGAGATCTTAGAAAGGAGTGCATTAGATATAGCCTGGTAATATTAATCACATCCTCTGTGACTAGCAAAGTTTTTCAAGACTCTATTTATTTCATTTTTATGTCTCTTCTCTGTTCTTTATCACTTTCTTCTTATTATTTGTATAGTTCATTTTTCCTTTCACCAATTTTTTTTTATTTTTTTTATTTTTTAAATTTTTTTATATATATATATGTGTGTGTAGAAGAAATGGATCAAACTAAATTTTTGAAGTCTCTGATTTTTAACATATAGCTAGAAGCTGATCTCTTGGGTGGTCACTATGGCCGCTCTTCAGCTAGAGACAATTCTTCTGTTTTATATAACATTTGCAGTTGGAATCTAGGGTAATTGGCATGTTAGAAATGTTTAAGTTGGGTATTTAGCTTGAAAACATTCAAAGTAGAGTCTTGATGGATTTTCATTCTTTTACTACTAAGTATTCTCTCTTGCACTGCCCTTTTGTTAGAGCAAGACCGATACTTCTGGCTGCTTTTTCAATTGCTTTTTAAATTGCTTTTATTGTACGGAGTTGAAGCTGTTCATCTCAGTTCCTGATGTAACCAGAGTTGCCTTAAAATAACTGGTTTTGTGACCTTTTAAAAGATGTGAATAGAAAGAGGAGGAGGAATTACTTATTATTTAGAGCCACATTGTAATACAGGGGAGAACTGTATATTGAAAAGGCTGGGAAGAATATGTAGAAAAATGTTATTTGGCTTTGCTGTGGCCAAAAGTCCCTTACAACAAAAACCCTCAAATCAAAACCCAGCAAAGTCTTTATTTTTTTGTTCCAGTTATGCTTTTTAACCAATTTAAGATTTGTTCTAGTTCAGTAATTGAGAGGAACCTAGAACATTGTTCACTTTTGTATTTTACTTATCTCTGAGGATCTGCAAGTTTCTGAGATTACAAAGGGGATACTTAGAAACTTATTTATTGTGAGAAGTGCTGCCCAAGACCTTGCCTTAGTATCCTGTGTGTTTATGTTAATCCCTGTTTGAGAGAGTGTGTTTAACCATGCTTTAAGGTACATCCCTAGATTAGGGCTGGAAATAAAATGTAACAAATCAGACTCTGGAAGGTCCTGCAGGTAGTGTACCTCAGACAGGTAGGCTGCGGAGTAAGAGGGGAACTTAAAAGAGCACATTTGTTGCAAGAAGTGGAATGCATGGTTAGCAGGAATTAAATGTGAAGCTGAGAGATGGAGAAGGGGCAGAAAATGATCAGGTTGGTTAATTACTCAAAAGTAAGCATATATGATCTTGATGCTCAGGCTTGGTTTGAGGGAACTACACTTGAATAAATTGCCAGGTAGAACTTCCACACCTCCAGACAGAGAAACATAGGGCTGGAAGAAAGTCTGGGGGGTTATTTGGATTTATTCTGCTGGGACTAAGCTGGAACAAATGCTTATACAGCAGAACCATGTGTCAGAACTTCCTATCTAAATACTCTCCACACTACCCCTAATGAACATTTATTTGAAGCAGTATTATAGCTGGATTTGTGGGCTGTTTCTTTGTAAGCCTAATTACAAGATTCCTAATAGTTAGAACTTTAACAGTAGTAGTTGAAGTTCCTCTTATTTTGATACAGTCATTCTTAATTATAGCTGTTTAGTACAGCACTGCCTTCTAATGTCTTCAGTAACTCAGTATATTGCTTGCAGTAAAAGCTAATGTGGGCATGCAGTTTTACATTGAATTCAGTGTGATCTCAGTTGATCAAATTCTTCTTTTTCTATTTTCCCCTTTTCAGGAGAGGAGCACACTTTGTGTGGTTGAGTGGTAGAGGAAAATGTATTAGTGGATTGAGTGAGTAGGGGTTTACTTGTATATGGTAACATAGGTGTTTTGCACCTGACCTCACATATCTTACCTGTGAGTACGCAATTCAGGGAAGTCAAAGTAGAAGAGGACACTTCCAGTCATTCAGCTCCATTATTCAGTATAGTCAGAGGTTGCTTCAACTCCACCAGCGTAACAAGCAATATTGTTTTTACTGCAGAAGTTCAGTTCTTTTTGCTGGAAAAGTGGAAAGGCAGATGCTAACTGGATCAAATACAGTGTCAGAGTTTGTGGGGTTCAGCACTTCAAAATATGAAATGAAGCCTTGTCCAGTATTTCCTCCAAGGGCTATTCTGCATGTATTCACATTGCGGTGTATTTAATTTCATTGTTGAATTAAGAAATGGGCCAAATTTGGAGACCATTTTGTTTATTATCACTGAAGTCTGAAATATTTCCAGCAGAATTACAAATATAATATGCACACATAAGTGTAAATATAGACACATATATCAGAAGGAGAAAAACACAGCTAACTCATGTCTGTTTGATATTGTTATCTAAGCTTTTACAGATTGAAGTAATATCAAGTGCAACTAACAAATATCTAAATGATTCAGACCTCCTACATCTCAGATGTCTTGAAATTATATTCTTTGTTCTTACTGGTGTTTTTGTCTGGTAACAAGGAAAGTAGTTTTTTGTCTTTCTGACTACATCATCATAAATAAATAAAAAAAGTTGAGCTTGCTGCTTTATGTAGATACTATTACTTAATGAATCTTTAATTGTAAAATTTCTTTGTATCTCAGTCACCCAATCATCAGAAGAGACAGAATAGTGAGGGGGGAAAGCAGATGATCTGAAGTGGTTTATTCAAGCTCGCATATCAGAGTATTGCCAGAGTTGAAAATAGAATAGTAGTTGAACTGTTATAGTTTATTAATTATGCTGTTAAAATGTCAGCCAAAAAGTAAGTTAGATTTTGGCAGAGAAAATATTCTTAAATCTAAAGAAAAAGGATGTTGAATTGGGCTAAAATGTGCAGAGATTTTTATGCTTTTTTTTTAAAGAGGAAAGCTACTGTGAAAATTATCGGGATTAAGTAAATACCCCTGGGTTTATTTTACTGACCTTTGGAAGTCTGTGTTGCAAATTATTGAAGTCCTGCAGATCACCTGCACTACACCTTAACTGCAAGTCATTCTTGACTGAAAGACATATCCTTATGTGATACTTATATTTGTGGATTCTTTGGGAATTATATTTGGACCATTTTGGTTAAAACATTCTGAACATCTGTGGATCACATCTAATGAATAATGTGAGCTAACTGCCATTTGTTTACATCTAACTCTGGTTACTGGGACTCAGGTCACTGGGACAATCTGTGATCTGTCTAGACACTTCCACTCGTACTACAGTCTCTACCTCTATTTTTTCCCTGGTCTTGTCTTCCTTGGTGTTAGGCTCTATGGGGATTTCCTTCACTTTGCTCATATTGTGTCCATGGCGGCCTTTTTATTTTCCTTATGGCATAATGAATGTTTCTTCCTTCTGTTGCCTTTTCTTCTTTATCTTCAGCTCTGCTCTGATAAGTTCAGTCATAACTTGTCTGATGGTAATTTCCAAACCCGTGCCTGTTATTGACACATTTTTCCCTTCTCAGATCTTAAACCTTCAGACATTTCTTCCTGGATGTCCTCATGCCTCATTATCACATCCCTGTATGTTTAGTCAAAATAGTGCATCATTTTGCCTCACAGTAGTTATTCCCTACTGTGAATGTTTTGTGCAATTTCACACTCCTTATTTTCTGTACTTCTTTCTGTATGTTCTGTACTCATTTCAGTCCTCTATTAGCTTTTTTTGTCTTCATAAAAAATCTGATTTCTTCCCTATTACATGCTATTTTTTAATTGAAACTGATTACTCCCATAGGTCCTTTTTCTTCCTAATGTAGTGTTATTAATGATTTTTTGTTTATTTTATAACATCAGCTCTTATGTTTAGTTGTATTATTATATGCATACAAATACCATTTATGTAGTAATTAATTTTAAGAATGCTATGACAGTAAACTTCTCCTTCAGCTTCTCCTGGCAGGGCCTACCATAATGATAGGATGACTTTTGTGTACACTGATTCACAGCTGTACCTAATTTGATTTGAATTATAAGTAAGTGCTTACAAATTTAGGCTACTTTACTTTTAACACACACAGGCCTGTGATCTCATCCTGATGTCTCTGAGATGTCAGCATGGTAGCACTTAAAGGCTTTCTAGAAGTGCAGTTGTTTAAACCAAATACATAAAAAATGCCTTTGTCAAATTTTGTCAAATTTTCTCCAAACAGTTCCTTCCTGTGATAATCTGTTCCTTGATGAAAGTGGTTGTATTTGCAGGTGCTTCTATTTCCGGTTCCTCATTCGATTTATTGGGAAGATGGGTGGAATTTTTTATTTAAAAGAGCATTAAGTTTTTGTTTGCCTAGGTCTTGTTGTGAAAGTTGTTTAATGGGAAGCATGACTTTGAAAAGCGTGCGCGTATATTTTTTCACAGATGTCCCATATCCAGATAACTTTCAATATTGCTTTTTCATAGAGGTGAATGTTCTGATGTTTTATGTGACTGCAATTATTGGCAGGAAAACATTCAGCTTATCTCGTGATTGTGTCAGTTATTCGTGAATACGCTGTTCCTTCCTTAAATGTTAATTGTAGATAATTACCATCCCCTGCCCAGCTTCTTCCAGCTGCCACCACCATCTCCTCAGCCTGCTGGCACAGCAATGCCATCCTTCGGTTTTCAAACAAATTTCCTCCCACTTGATGTAGTGACAGAGAAGCCCTGTGGATGGTTTACATCATCATTCTTTGGCTGCAGCCCCCTTTGTCATTACTAGGCGTTGCTGATAGCCATCAGGATCTACAGTCATTACTGTATGTGTCAGAATCTATCCTTTCCTTAAGTTTCCACCATTCCAAGCTCAATTTTAACTGTGATTTGCCTCATCTGAAGCTAGGCCTTATCTTGGGATATTGTCAGTGTATGGTACCCGATATGACTGGAATTCTCTAGCACTTGGACATTATCATTGATTCCTTAAGGATTTATATTCAGACTGCTTTCTACAGGAATTCTAGGTGTGCCTGCTCTTTTGGCATAAAATTTTAAGAGACTACCTTAGTAATTCAGAGTATGTCTACTGGAAGGTTATTTCTAGTTCACCATACAGCTATGTGGAGCATAGTGACCACAATGCCAAGATTACAAACCAGAATAAAGAACCTAGTCTGACATAGATGTCACAATAGCACTTGCACTAAGCTGAGCCTGTGTGCTTATCTCTGCTTTATTTTGTCTATGCTGTTTTCATAATAGCCACACAAACTGGATTTCTGTTAACCTTCCTTGCATGAATCCACTAGAAAAGGTCACCAGTGCCATCCATAACATACAGTGGCTCTATTGTTAACATATATTACCCTGTATGTATGATTTTATTTGGCTACCACTGATAGTTCTTTGTGATTCTTCAGTGAAAACGGTTCTGTAGTTTACTACTAGAGTGATTTTTTGCTGTTTAGTAATAGCTTGAGTTGTCTACAAGTTAAATAATCTTCAAAGATAATTTTTTTTGTCCTTTTTAAGATAAGATCATCACACGTGCTTCATCTGAGTACTTAAATCAGTGCCTCACTCCAAATACAAGAGTCTCTTTAAAGTGGGTCTGGTATTATGTACTAACTTCTATAACTGATGATATGGGTTTGGGCTGATGAATTTGCAGAGTCACTGAACTCCTGGCCTGTATGGAATCCAGGTTGCTGATTTATGCCTTGTTATTTATGCCTTCCCCCGTAAAAAAACAAAATTGCTTCTGTCTTTGCTGAAGTGTACCTTCCCCATGTTTTTTCTAAATTCAGGATTACTTTATCTAGTTCTAAACTGAGAGTTACATATTATGCATTTTGAGTGTTTGCATTGTTTATGCCTTTGAACCTTTCTAATTAAGGAAAAAATTGTGGACTGGAATCTTGAATTGATGTAAATCGGTAAAGCTCCATTAAGTTTTGGGGGAATACTTCTTGCTTTCAATATTAGCCCCTCAGCAAAAATGTGGTCAAGGAATGACAATTCAATAGATAAGAGTTTGAACTAAAATGAGTTTAAATGGAATTTGTTATGTCTGCCAAGTTCAGATATGTTAAAATCCTCACGTTAACAGAACAAAAAATCCATATGATCATTTTATTTACTGAACTGCTGAAACTGTTGATTCTACTGCAGACACGTTTTTTAAATCTCCCAACTGTTAAAACTTAGGGGAAAAAAATTAACTGAAGGAAACAAGTTATTACTTGGTCATCTGCCACTCTTGTATTAAACCAAAATGTACGCTTTCACAGTAAGAACAGGAAGAGGTTTATCTAGTGGATAAAACAACTGCTGGAAATCAATCTTGTGTGTATCATTCCTACGTTGGTATTAACTAAACCACACAGTTGGGAAAATCGTTCAGCTTGTGTCTTTACTACTGAGTTAACCTGAACAATCTGCCTCAGATTAGCTTAACATAGATGCAAGCAACTGCTCTGGAAAAACATCTCAAGGGCTTCACACAATGATTGAATGACTATGGAGCGATTGTGTTAGTGGCTGAGAAGATGTGCTAATGTATGCTGTAACTAGTGCATCCTGACAGGTTGCCAGCTTGAATCAAAGCACTACCATGCTCGAGTTAAGGACTGTAAAAGGCATAATCCATCATTAAGCAAGAAAATTATACCACAGAATCACGGAACAGCCAGGGTTGGAAGGGACCTCAAGGATCATGAAGCTCCAACTCCCCTGCCACATGCAGGGCCATCAACCTCCCCATTTAATACTAGACCAGGCTGCCCAGGGCCCCATCCAGTCTGGCCTTGAACACCTCCAAGGACGGGGCATCCACAGCCTCTCTGGGCAGCCTGTTCCAGCACCTCACCACTCTCTCTGTAAAGAACTTTCCCCTGACATCCAACCTAAATCTTCCCTTGCTCAACTTAAAACCATTTCCTCTTGTCCTGCAGTTATCAACCCTTTCAAAGAGTTGATTCCTGTCCTGTTTGTAGGCTCCCTTTAGGCACTGAAAGGCTGCAATGAGGTGACTCCGTAGCCTTCTTTTCTCCAGGCTCTTGAGCCTGTCCTCATGGGGGAGGTGCTCCCATCCCCTGATCATCTTCGTGGCCCTCCTCTGGACCCTCTCCAACAGCTCCCTGTCTTTTTTGTACTGGGACCAGTTCTTAATGTTTTGCAAGTCAGGTACATTTTATGTGCAAACTCTGCAAATTTGTGATGTTTGCTTGAAGGTGAAACATTTGTGGCTTTTTTTAAAAAAAATTTTTTTTGCACATTTTTGGATTTGGGCCTTTTTCCACAAACAAAAAGACTAGAAGCACATTTTTTGTTTTAAATGAAAGCTGAGATTCTTACATAACTGCCTAATTCCAGAGCCTGGCTTCAGGAAAAGTGGAAGGAAAAACAAAAATAAAAAAATAATTGTGCTTTCATTTGTTCATATAAAAATTAGATTTTCAAAGCATTGAACATACATGGAAAAAAAAATACTAAATACTCCAAAATCTGACTTCTCTCTAAACCCTGAGTTTTCTAACACTGTGGCTATTTTGGATTTTTTAAAAACAATTTAGCAAAATTCAAAGAATTAATTAGCTAATCTCAGCTTGGGGCATCAACAGCTGCTTGAAAATCTTGGCTTGCTGCTGCTGTGCATTTTTGAGAATTCTGGCTGAAGAGAGATCAGCTCAGAGGGATTTTCTCTGACTTAGTACTGTGCATTTTTATTGTTCCTTCTCAAAGAGAGAAAGCACATGTAAATGCACGGTTGGAAACAATTTAAATTTGCAAGAAGGTAAACTAAATGTTTGAGCAGTACTTTTTACCACTGCCTTCTTATCATTTTCCTTCCATATCCATCAAAAATACATTTTTTCTACAAAAAAAAAAAAAAGTTTATTGAACTCAGTCTTCACTTGATTGAGGACATCATCTATAGCTTTTGTGCCATTTCAGCTTGGAGATTAGCACAGTTTTCCTGGATGGTTAAAATTCCTGGTTGGATTGGCCATCAGAAAAAGAGTAAAAACATTCATATATTAAACATTGTATTTGATTTCCTTTTCCATGCATGTAGGGAGAAAGAATGGTGTGTGCCAATACAGCTACTTTTAAATAAGCCATACTGCAGCTTTTGCTGAAGTAAGGGGGATTCAAAAACCTGTTATTGTTCATTAACTGTGCTGAAGGCACAAAAGCGCGGTTTCATTTAAAGTGCATTTCTGTTCTGAAAGGAAGCTCTGAAAAGACCTTTTGGGGCTGCTAATTTCTTCCTTTTCAGTGTTTTCTATATGTAATCTGTTCACTTGTCAAGTAACCTGCAACTTTTTTAGCTGTCAGCAGGTCAAATTTTATTTGTGAACTGACCTTGACCGAGATGAATTTTGCCTGTCATTTTTATTTTCAGTGTGGTTGTCACTTCTATTGGCGTACCAGACAGGAATTCTCCTCATATCTTAGATGTATAACATAATATATAGTGTTATTTGAGGTCTCTCTTCAGCAAGTATAAGAAGCTAGCAGCACGTTATTTCATTCACTGAAGAAAGCAGGGAAGTAGAGCTTGATTGTATAGAGAAATACTTTTATAATGAATTTGCAAGCAGAAATGTTCAGAACACTGGTATTTTCTAAGGAAAATTTATTTCCATCTATATACATTCATAAATATAGTCGTCTTCATATTAAATCCATCTCTGTTAGCAAGCTTTTAACTTTGAAGGGCAGTTTTGACCCCATTGTTATGTGGCATCAATGTAATAATAATACATCTTAGGGTTAAAAAGGGTGACATCCAAATGGAGCTCATCAGATGTTAAAAGAGAAAGGAGACTTCAACTTAGTTCCATATCCAATTAACTGATTTTCTTATTTGCACATTAAAGCAGCACAAAAATGAGATTCTTCCAGCTATGAAATTATGCTATATAGAAAAATCTGTCAAGGACTATTTCTTCATTGCTTGTTCCTTGCATGCCTGCTCAAAGAGTTGTTTTGGGAACAGGGCAGAAGGTGGTCTGCTCTGACTGCTAAACTTCTCATTAAAGCATAGTGCAACAATATATAAAAACAGCTCTAGTTTATATTCGGTAGCAAAACCAGAGAGTTACAGACCATCTTTTGTAAAATCTTCATTCTTTTGTGCCAAATGTAGCTTCATTTCAACCAGGGTTGCTGATATATCTTTAAATTGTTACACCCTTGATAATGTTTTTGATAAGTACCATAGCTTTCCTAGTTGACTTTCAGAGCCATTTGTTACTGAAGCCAGACTATATTTGGTTATTCAACTTACCAATAGATTTTTATTGAAGTCCCCTTGTAGATGTCATTGACATTGCAGACATCACAGGCTCTCCTTGATAGCAGACTTCTGACTGTTGCACACAGGTGAGCAAACTAGGTTTCACTAGAACTCAAGTGATGTTTGATCCTCCTCCTTGTTTCCAGCTGCAAGTTTGCCTGTAAAAAAAAATTGCCACACCTTTTGTAGCTGCCCTTTCATATGTGAATCATGGCATAGACAGTTAATTCAATTGGTATCTCTTTTCCAAAAACTTCTTTTTTCCCCCCACCCTAAATAAGACAAGGATCTTGATAGGAAAGTCACTTTTTATCTGGATTTAAAAAGGATGCAGGTAAGTGGAGTCCAAAACCCCGCATAGGCAGATGGCTTTCACCTCAGATGAAGAAAGAATCTGAGAATCTGTTGGCCATAAAACCCATCAACTTTTAAGAAACAAAAAATGAGGGGAAAGGTGCATGAGAAAGGAGAGGGGGGCTAGAATGTATGATGCTCAAAATGAAAAGAAAAAAAAAAAACAGAGGAAAATACTGTGTAGGAAACATTAGTTTTTAATAGTGGCAGAAATTTGTAGTTAATTAACAGAACGCTAGTTAGTACCATTTAAGCCTTTCTACATTAAACCACAATGATTATTCAGTCCTGAACGGAGGATTAACCAAATTATTCCCCCCAAGCTGAAAACTGACACAACCAATGAAACAGCACCAGTGCTGGATCCTGCTGCTGTTTGAACTGCATTGGCATCTTTCACTGAACAATGCACTATTGACATAGCTGAGGCAGCATGAGACAGTAAGTGAAAAAGAGAAAAAAGCTGCAATTGGCATTAGTGTCTTGGCTTGTACAATAAAAGGGATGGGAAAGAGGTGAATAGTAACTGTTTGGCGTCCTTGGGAGAGGTTTTGAAGAATACCTGCATGCTCTGTAAAACCAGTACTGTAATCACAGTTGACATTCACTGACTTGAGAAATTCTGTGATTGGTTCCTGAGACCAACTGCTTATTTCACATAGGCACAACTAAGCTGTAGAATTGAGTCATGTTGAAGCATTACACTACACAGAACTCAATTCTAAGGAGTTGTGAGAATACACCAAAACTGGGTATAGGTAATTTCACCTCTTGTCAGTACTGATTTGAAAATTCTTGTCCTCATTATTAATTAGAGTGGACATCACAATTTGATAGCTGCACTGAAATCACGGATCATAGCAGATGTGTTCAGGAATGTTCTGTCTGTCTCCTGTGGACCTGTTTCTTTGCAGGAATAGGGATGAGATGCAGCTACATGAAGGCAACAGGGTAATGCTACCCATAAGAGAAAAAAATGTGAGATAACTAGCTGTTCCCAGAAAGAAATGAAAACTAATTATGAGGCAAATGTTGTCTAACTCTTTAAAAGTAGCTTCTAAAGAGCATATTGCTGGAAGCTAGGAGAAAAAAAAAAAAAAAAGATGATACCAAAGCTTATGGACATTAAAAGTATTAGCACAGAGCCTAATATGCATGTATTGATGCACTCTGATGTGCCAATGCATCACCATGTTACTGTACTTGTGCATCCACGTGTCATCCCTGCTCCCATGTGTCATCGCTGACTCCTCTGTGATTTCCTTTTGTTGGCAGATTATTGTTAATGTATTTTGGTTTGATCCTTTGACATTGCCTTAATGAGTACAAATGATTCACTTTTTTAATAAAAGAGAAAATAAATTAAATACAAGTCCAGGGTTTAATAAGGTATTAATGATACTTTTGATTGTAGCTAATCCAATCCTGTGTAGAAATTTTCATAGTTTTCACACTGACGGAGGGAGAGCTTTGAAGGATATTTCATCTATGCACCATCCTCTTACAATACATATATTAAATGGATTGAATAGTTTAAAGTTGAGTCAGTTATTTGCTTCATGAGCTGCTACTTACCATCACACAGATAATCGCATTTGGCAGCCTTCTTTTAGTTGAGCAATGCAAATTGAATTACTATACTGCAGAGATAAAATTTGCTCATGATTTCTGCTGCTTGTAAGGTGAGGATTACAGGGGAGGATTCTTATTGTGCCTCCTGCATATGGTACTTTGCCTGGAAGTAGGAAGTTTGATCTTTGGCTTCACACAGCATTACACTGAGTATGCACAAATGGCTCTAAAAAAGTTGGGTGGTATTTCATGTACTTTTGTTGTACTTTGCTCAGCAGCAGTATAACCTGTGAAAACAGTTTACTGAAGAGTTATCTTTAAAGGAATTTCCTGCAAAATTTTTCAAGCACATGAGAGCATTTCTTTGAATTGTCTATTCTGGGTTTGCTTTGATACTGGTGCCTGGATTATTATCCTACAGAATCGGAGCTGAGTATTTGAGGGAAAATCCACATGCCATCCTGCTACAGAGAACTAGAAACAGCTGTCTAATAGGAATGGGAGCTTAAAGCTTACTAAGTCTTATTTTTTCCGGATGGCACGCAGGATTATCACTGAACTGTGGTGGTGGGTTGTTTTTTTGTTGGTTTTTTATGCGTTTTGTGTGTGTGTTTGCTTTTTTTATTTTGGCATTGTAAGACTTTAAATTTAACAGTTTTCATGTATGAAAGGATTTGCTGAGTGTGCTGTTTTTCTCCACTGACACTTCAGAGCTAATGGCATGTCAGCACGTGCAGTTGGAAAGGGTTATTTTTAAGTCTGATTTCTGTGTGATATTTTTAATGAATTTAGACTGCTTATAATTCTGTAAAAATGTGGTTTTAGTGTACTGTGGCACACATAATTTCCTCATAACTATTAAAATTTACTGTGCCTTGTTTGGGAAAAGGAAGTGCCTTGTTAAAAAGGAAGGCTAGTGGATGATATTTTGTATATACGTGCACTAATTTCAGCGTGATATTATGATCTTCAGGTTTCAACTGTTAACAGCAAAATGCTTAAGTAAAAGAAGTCAGTACATTTCTACGAACAAAAGTGACCCTGCTCCTTTCTAAATTGCACAGTTGCTGTCAGAAAACTGAAAGTATGTTTTTACAAAAAAAAGATCAGATGAGTGGATTATGACATTCATCAAGACTGACATGCTTATTGGGCTATTGTGAGCTCACCACAGTCATTTCTGAGATTGTGACTGCTCTATCATCTGAGCTAATATGTGAAATGGAACTAGCAGATGACTCTTGACATCTTGATAGTGCAAAAGAGAATATGGGAAGAGTTTCTTCCATTGATTCAGGATGATGACCTGCTTTCAGTTAAAATCGTCCGAGTATGTTGATTTTGACGGACAGTGTGGGCTAAAACCCACAGATATTTTGAAAGCAACGGTAATTCTAAGGCATACTTACCCTTTGGATTTAGAGCAACTCAGCTGACATGGCTCCTCTGCACTGTGTGGGGATGGTAAGAGTGGTGATTTCCTGGCTTTCACTAAAATCTTCATGTGGTTTATGTTGGTGTGGAATTATGAATTAGTGCAAGCTGCAGTACCAAGGAGACTTGCAATTTCAACTTTCGGTGCTCAGGCTGTTGACACTTTACTGCTGATGCCTAGTAAGGATGCATGCATTTTCATGAGAGGCATCCAAAGAAGCTTATTTCTGCACACAGTGAAAGTTGGTTTTCCATAACTGAGACACAAATACACATGTGCCCTGGGTGAGTCCAATGGTGGGCACCCACTGAAAGCCAGGAGTAGATATCACAGCTTGTATATGCAATGTATCCTGAAATGTGCACCCAGGGCAGAGGGGGAACAAGATGCAGGCATTTCAGAAATCCAATCCCAAGTTGGAGGAACTGCACAAGGATCACTGAGACCTACTCCACATGGGACCACCCAAAATCAAATAACTTTTCTGAGAGCATTGTCCAAACATTTCTTGAACTCAGTATTGCACAAAATTCCATTCAATGTGAACTGGTATAAATTAGCAAGAAATATTCCCGAAGAGCTTTCACAAAGAAAAGATGTGTGTGTTATTTGCCTGATCACCTTCATTGCAAAGGCAGAGGGAACCAGTTGATAATGTATTTTCAAAAAGCTTCAGCTCCTTTCTTCCTATGAGGAGAAGGTAAAGAGGTGTAACATGCTTGAGCGTTTAGCAGGTATTAAGGGTCAGCATGTTTGTTGCCTGTGTGAGTAAATCAAGAGCTGATAAGGTGAAGACATCACGTGTCGAGGTGGGTTATAAAACCACAGATCCACGTGGTTGTTGAGATGTTCTGTCAGGCTTAGGAGATTTTGAAATTTAACTTCATTGGCAGACTGCCTCACATGGTATGGACAGGGCATATGGGAACAATGCTCTGCTGGAACCCAGAAGTAATCTGGTAACAGCCTAAGCACGGGCTGGTGTCACTGGCATGTCTGGGTTACCCTTGTCTGCTGCAGATCAGATCTGCGTTCAGAGCCGCACAGACATCTTAAGCTCTGCGGCTTCTGTGATGTGCTGTTGTGGGGCGTGCTCTTTGCATACTTGTGTTAGCTCCTTAGCCACAGGCAGCTCAGTCAGAGCTTTCTATCAAAGGTGAGTCATTCTTCCTGTCATATCACAATCAAGATGTTTTTAATATTTTCAACATTTGGAGTAAAAGATGGCAGTGTCACTACCTCAAATTCATGGTTAGAGAAGCTTTCCTTGTGTCCCTGCTCATGTCATTTTTGGGGAGAGGGAGCAAGCTGCAGAACAGTCACAATTTCAGTATAGACTTGGCCTTCTTGTGCCCTCCCTTCCCCCTGAACTTGATAAGTTGAGCTGCAGGAGTCATGGTTTTGCAGCAGTACCAGCAGGATAAATATTTCTGTATTTCTAGTTGATTTAAAGATGATTGGTGTATGTTCTTCTCCTTTTTTGGCAAAGGTTAGCCCTGTTAGATGTACTGCTTTCAGCTCCTCTTCCCATCTGTTCTGTCTCTTTTCAGTGAAAACTAAGGAGATGTAGCTCCCACTCAGGCTGCCAGATCGCCACGTCTCCCATGCGTGAGAAAATATCTCTGCTGAGGTAGAGTGGTGCTCTCCTGCCTGAACTCACCATATTGTAGGCTGTGGGCAGAGCAGAAACACAGTAATGATACACCCCCTTTGTTAGCTTGTACAAATGAGAGAATACCACTGCCCTTTGCTTAACTGATGAAGATACCCAGGCCTGAGGAATCTGAGTCCAGACAGTCTTTTCGTGATCAACTGGATTACCAGAGCAGTGGATAAGAGAAACAGATCTGTGTTTAAAATCTTGAAAACACAGTACAGTGGGTAAATAAGGAAAAATGCAGACTTTATAGATGATGATTATTCCAAATTTACGATTACCTGGATAGTAAAACCGTGAAAAAAGCAAATACGCTAAAAAGCTGCAGACTACCTCGGATATCACTGGCAGGTAGCCATTTCATTAAGGATGAAATCTTATTTAGCAGAGTCCAGAAACTTGTTTAATTTCCCTGACTACTAAAGATTTTGTAGTATCTATGTATTAGAAGAATTGCATGATGTGAGTTCTATTTAGAGAGAAGTGTTACGTTACAGAGAAGCTGTCTTTGTGCTTATTCATGTGAAAGTACTTCTCTGACTCGAGGAGGTGTTTAGTTCAAGTAGTTATTAGAAATACAACATCATCTTATTCTACATATGAACCGTGTTGGTTTGCAATGAAGCTGTTTGCTTTTCCTTGGCATCGGAAGCCTTGGCTCATTTCCCTCTTCTTTTCTTTGACATCTTCTGGTCTTTGGATTTCCTATTTAGTATCAACTTTGCATAAGTGAAATTGCATTGGAAAGATACCATTACTGTTTTTTTATTAATGTTTCTTGAGATTTTGGTTTGTACTGGTTCAACCATTGTTAGTGTTATACTGTGAAATATTCTACAGTGAAGGGAAGGAAATTGCCAGCTGGGTAATAGCTCCCCTGATGACACATTAGTTTTGCCAAATCATGCAACAGGGAATATTCCCTCTGGGTGGCAGTAGGGGAAATGGTGTTTCTTGCACAGCTACTTGTCATGGTGGGTACAAACCTTTACAAACCTTCCCATTATATGGAAGGATGCACCCCATATTGTAGTTCTGCTTCAGCACTGCTGGAGTCTCAGGCCATGGCTCTTATCTCTGCTGTCCTGGGCCACCGCTGGAATACTTGCACTCCTGCCCTGTTCTGAATGGAGGAGATGAAAGACAAATGGAGAGTGTAATAAAGAATGTAGTTGTTCGAATACATGGTTTGTATGCTCCCATGTTGGTCATGGTATTTTAGCCTGTATTGCAGGAGGGATCATATTGTGTAGGAGCATGTCAGAAGCTGTAGCACTTTTTTCTCCTGGAGAAGAGGGCTCCTTAATGCTTTTTTAGTTATTAATTATTTTAATTAATTTTTAATGGCTGGATTTTTATTTAAAAACATATGCTTTGGGTGCTGATTAATTTTTCCCATTCTGTATTTCATATGGCAGCAAATAACTCCTCTGAGAAATTTTGCTTTTGGCAGCATGTGAGGCTGACAAGTTCTTTTATTTTTGACTTTCCAGCGTTGGTTCCAAAAGGATATTCCTCCTAATTGCCACATGGAGGGAATGATATTACTGAATTTAACTAAACTGCATACAACTAATAACAGTACAGTATATACTTAGAGTAGTGTATACATACATACATATATATATAAAAGTATATGATATACAATAGTAATACATTACTACGGGAAGCCTGCTTGACTGTTAAATTTATATAAGGTTCTTCCAGTATCTTAAAATACCCATCTGTAGGTAGAGTCACTGCAGATTGCTGCATCTTGACCAGCAGCTTGTGGGTTTTTCTGATGTTTGCTTTAAATACAATATCTCAAGACTACAGTGCAACCAGTTTTCTCCCACTTAATGTTATATTTCTGCTGTCATTTTCCTTGTTTGCAGGTAAGCAGTGAAAAACTGTACAGAAAGGAAAGTGACCCGTTTTTTTATTTTACAAGTACTTGAGTTTGTTTGGATTGATAGGCAAATGTCTTTTACTCATGGTATGACTTGCATTTATACAGCCATTCTGTTCTGTAAGGCCACACATCTCCTCGCAGTGCAGCTCACAGGCTGTGATGTGGAGTTATGTAGCAACCTGGACCCACTTTCTTGAAACAAATCCTGAAAAATACTGGTGTGCTGATGATCTTTAGGTGCAGAGGTACTCTGCATACTCCTGAATGGCATTCTGCTTATTCAATTATTGAATGAGTATTATTATGCAGTTGTACTGGTGAATTAGTTTATATCCATGTTACTTTCATTTTTCCTTGTGATTACTGAAGGAGGACCAGAAATACAACATTTACCTATGATTAGGAGTATCAGAAATATCTAAAGAAAATTTACAATAAATTTGAACTATTTTTCTTTTCTAAGATTTAAAAGAAAAGAAGCATCTTTATTTTGGAAAAGCTCTGTTCAACATATGAAGTGCTAATTCTGGTTCCTGTCAGAATACAACAGGTCTTAGTGAGAGCAGGTCTTAATGAAAGGCCTACTGAAATCAGTAAAGGAATTGCAGTAAGTCATCATTGTTGAACTTGTAAGTGTTTTACAGATTGTTAGTACCATTAAGCAAACTGTAATGATTTTTAAGTAGTGGGTTGAAGAATTTAGGGAGATTTCACAAAATGGTAAATTGGACTTTTGGAAGGAAGGTAAGATTAGTGTATACAAGGTTTTAAAAACAACCTGTTGCCAAAATATTCATTCCGGGATGATGTGTTTGTTGTAATGGACACCAAGTGAAAAAACAAGCTATGAAATCTCGACCTTTGCACAAACAGGGTTCAAGTCTTTATGAAGCTAAACATGTGAAGCATGTGAATATATGGACTACAAATGGACTGCTTTTGTGTTTGTAAAAAACTCAAACACTTCAGAATTGAAAAGTAATTCTAGTCTGAAACTAGAGTGTCCTCTCACTGCAGCTAAGAATTTCAAGTGTGTTTGGTGATTCATGAATGGCTGGTAACTCAGTCCATTTTTCACCCTCTTGCCTCTGTGTTTAACATAAATTCTTCAGTTGAACTGTACACAACCTCAGTGCCACACAGAATTAAACGCAGAACTCATGACTTCATACATTCCTATTTTCCACCTATTGTTTCTGTTTCATCTCTTTCTTTGCTAGATAGTGATAGTAGTTTTCATGGGAAAATTCTTGGAATAACTTTATTCTTTGTGAACGGTTTGTTGTTTGATTTGCAAAGTTATATAAAAATTTGCAGTTAAGAACTTGATGGATTGTTACAGTCATTGCATAATATTTCAGAGCAAGCCACACTTAAAGCCAAGACTGTTATTTCAGAATGGTGTTTTTAGTGCCTGTGCTGACCATTTTGGAAATATAATTAGAGACCATTCAGGAGAGTTAATTCTGAAAATAGGACATTAATAATGTATCATGTTTGGTACACTGGAGGTTGGTTTAAGTGACTAGTATGATGGTAAATAGTAACACCTGTAATAGTTTCAGTTCTCTGTTGTTTTCTACAAAGCAGAGAAGAGATTCTGATTTGGCAGGTTGCAATGTACTAAGTGGGAAGATACAGTCATGTTTGGTCATATTTTTCTACAGGTGTATCTTTATTCTTCACTATTCTGTTTGTAGAT